AGGAACATTTGTCATGTCCCTCAGATGATATTCGAGCACCCCCGGAACCCTACATTAAAACAAAAATATAAGAAGGTAGTAGCAATGGACCTTTTCGGCGATACGGCCGCCATTTTGAATTCTATTGTTTTTTAATTCTATTGCTATTATGGGATGCTTAGGGGGCAAATGCAGGCTAATTTGTCCCTTAAGCATCCCATAATAGCTATTTGAAATAATAGAATTCAAAATGGCCCCGTATCGCCGAAAAGGTCCATTGCTTGACCTCTAACCAGCTTGCTAGGGGCTACGACAAAACCGCAAACCCAAAATAATCCTGTGATTAGAAGAATCACCAATCTTGAGTGTCTCTGTATGTGAAAGAGATTTACCATGACAATTTTGCCATTTTACGACTCAAGATACAACAACAACAACAACAACAACAACAACAACAACAACAACAACAACAACAACATTATTTGTAAACAACATTTACACCAGTTGAACTTATAATCGACACAATTAAGAATACCGGCTGCCTTAAAGGAGCTCAGTCACGGTTTGCATATTTTGAAAAGTTTGGCCTAAATTTTTCAAATTCGTCGTTTGCAATCCGTGTCAACTTTCGCCATCCTTGAACACCCTTGTTCCTTTATGGTTTATTATTATCTCTTTGATGTTTTTCTATCTTGGTAAACTATTATTTTCAGGTTTCCTTCCATTTAAAGGAGATTTTGTACGTGGCCAAAAAAAAAAAGACAAAACACCGTGACTGAGCTCCTTTAAGTAACCATAAAAGGGTAGCCAGCCAAGAGCACAATAATATAGTTACAGAGTCAGCACACAAACAACAACTCGCGCTAATATATGAAACAAAAACAGAAGCCGTCTTCTCATGATCCGGTCAATGGACAACCTTTTCATGAAGAGGTGCGGTTTACAAAATCAGTTACTTCGACTCTACGTTTGTTATTATGGACAGACAGATAAAGCCTTGTTGGCAACAAGGACAGAAATAGTCCATAAGAGGGGGGATCTTGTTCGAGACATGAACTCGTAAATAAATAAACAATAGCCTCCATTCGGCGCGAAAATATTCTCGGTTATTTGTCCGCGGGCATTGTGTGTTCCGAGAAGTGAACAGTTTATGTTCGAGGAAAACTGTGAGCTTTGAGGAACACATAATATCCAACGACAAATATCCACGCATATTTTTGCGCCAAATGGAGGCTATTGTGTTTATTACCCTTCAAATATTTTTTCGCAACGGGCGCAGTTTTGCAAATTGCAGAATATCATTCCAATATTCCCCGGTTATAGCTGGGGCATATTCAGTCACGTGACGCGTTAAGACCAAACGCGCGCGAGCAAAATTATGAAAACCGTGTTAGATAGTGTCATTCAGCTGGTTCCTAATACAGAAAGGAGA